AAGAGAGCCAAAAAAGCCCAAATCCTAATCCGGTGTTGAAGAGTCTTGTAGTGCAAAAGGGTACCCTCGAACAAGCTAATTTACACACGACCGAGAAGAGCACGGCCAGGCCAGTCCCAGCAATGCCGGCAGAGAAACGAGTGAGGAGCTCAGGAAGCTCTGGGCCAGACTTTTTTAGTGAAAGGATTGCTGTTTTACAATGCTTCCTCCTCTTGTCAACCATTATAGATATAAGGTTCTCACATGCGTGAAAGTAGTTCTTCTTGTAGAGATCCCGCTCTCTGCATACCTTTCTACCACTCTTCTTTTTTGGTGACTTGACCTTGACTTTTTCAGCGCTGTTGAGCACAAAACTAACCAAACTTAGCAAGGATGTCATAATTGAACTTTTTGCTAGGAGGACAAGAATAGATGGACTCAAGTCACATTGCAATATTCTTTGGCTAGTTACTGATCAAAGAATCTCAAAACTGAAGTTGGCAATGGTGAATGAAAAGTGGGCAGAAACAAGTATTTGTACATCTACCTTTTTAAAGGAGCAACAGTTGTTGCTTGAAGCTTCAAAGTATTCCCATCAACAAGAACTCGTATTTCACTGCTGTCCAGCCTGGTCAACGTAAATGAGCTGGGTCAAGTTTTCATAAGAATAGAAATGGCAAACATTTAAAAATGTTGATCAAAGATACAGACAATAAAAGAAGAGAAAAGAGTTTCATCACAGTCAAGAATGATCAATCATGTAAGAAGCATACAAAAAATATTCATCAAGCAATTGATTATGTTCAGGTCTGGCGAAACAAGTGATTCCTGACTAAGTAATCGTTACATGTGCCCTTCATTTCACATACGGATAATGACAAAGACCCTGCGACTCCATTCATCAAATATAAGTATTTTTTATTTTTTCAAAAGTAATGAAGGTCTAATTTTTAAGGTTCATACCAATACCACCGTAGCAAAGTCACAAATTCACAAGAGATAGATATGAAAGAGTATTTCGCACAATCCAGTGGTATCATCGATAAAAAAAAGAAAAAAAAACATAAATAGATGTCTACGCACATTGCATATGGAAATGATTCAAGTAAAAAGGGCGCACATACCTACTATAGTGTGGGACAAGCATTGACTGCTTTTCCCACGTAGCTGAGCTTTTTGACAAGTAAAACTCAGCAACAACTGAAAGTAGATCCTTAACCTCAGTCCCCGTACCATTGAATGAGACTCGCCCATCTGGGTGAATTGTAATTCTTGAACTACCCATCAGATCTCCAACAAAGTCCAAAAGAGGCTTTTGGGCGTAAGTACTAGGGTAGATTAGAGGACTTGGCTGTTGCTGAGAATCAATTCTCAATGATTGTAAAACCATCAACTCAGAAAGTAAAGCTAAATCCACTGTGCCTCCCTCTGGTTCAGTTGCTCCGGACATGAGGAACTGCAAAATCTTTTCATGTCTTGTGCAATGTTCAGCAATTACAGAGCTGAAAAGCATTGAACTTGGATGAGAATCTGCAACCAATATTAGAGAAAACATTAGTTATAAACAAACCTGACATAATATAAGATAATAGCATGAGAAAAGGAAAGAAAAGCCTGAATCAATAGATATCAACCAATCAAACTCAAAGAGAGGGAAAGAAAACAAGAAGAAAAAAAAAA